TCCCCCCATCAATAGTCACAGGTATAGGGTTTGTTGATGAATGTTATATATCTTCACTTACAGTTAGTCCCACGTTGAACGTCGAGTACTCAGTTGATTAAAGGAAAGGGCATCAACGAAAAAATAAACATATACTACCCATCAAAAGTTTAGACTCACCTAAAGCACTCACTATATGTTATACATATACATATGGTTACATCGGAGATGAATTTCTCCACTAACTTGGGGGAGCCAACTGCAAACTTTATGTAGATGAATTGTAAGAGGATCATGCATCAAATTGCTAAAAAGCATGTGCAAATATCGTTCATGTGAACAGCTGCGTTTTGGTGTAAAGTTTTCTTAAGAATTCGCCAATTTTCACTGATTTTCATCATTTACTGAACTCATGACAATAATCTGTTCAACGTTACGAATTTGTTTTACAATGCATTAGTTCATGTGTAAACAGTACCCTTAAACTGAACTGAATATTTGGCAAAATCAAGTTTAGAACAGTTGACTGAAATAAGAGGCTACATTTACACTAGTGAGTCTAAACTTTTGATGGGTAGTATAGTTCCAACATCAACCTTGCAAATGCTCCACACAAAAAAAGTGCGAAGTGCTTCTTAAACATCGTTAACATTGTTGGCCTTGATATTTGACAGTAACTCAGTATATGTGTAAATGTACGGTATCTAGTTCACACGAGACTGGACGTGGACGCTTGGTACCTAGAGTTGATGACGTCGTCGGTAATCAAGTAGTTGGAAGGCGTTAATGGGACTAGTGTGTGTGTCTCTGTCAAAACCGGCTCATTTCTATAATGGGTTCTTATAAAGAAGAGGAAAATATTCTGAAACATATATCACTGTCACCATGGCGACGATGGGATGTCTGAAAGTACGAAAACGTTCTATATATAATGGAATGTAAGGAATGAATTTTGATTGATCTGTGAGAGTAAATAACATGCTCACATCTTAATCTATCTGAAAGAGAAACATTCTACGATGAAGATACTCGATTCATGGTAAATTATGATTTACCCACTCATGATTCATTGAAATGATGGCGTTGTTTGTCTGTTGTTTAACGCTGCTGTCGGCAATATTCAAGCGACATAACAGAAGTCTGTAAACAATCGCCTCTCGTCCAAAAACTCCAATGTTTGAAAGGATACACATAGAACCACTTTACTTGCATATTACAACATGCACCAACCATATCATCAAGCCAGACCACTCGATCCCATTAGTTTGCGGAAGATCAGTTGCATTGTAAAATGAAAATATGTGAACAATCTACCTAGTGCTGTTGGAGAGCGTCAGGTAAGACCTGCAGAGTATGCGGATGATTATAATCATTAGTTGTTTAACCATTGCCCACGGGTGACTGAAAGCTGCCATCGATTATTCAATTCATCGAGCAACATCTTTCTGTAACAAAGACACTATTCGAATATTTACGTAATTAAAATGTTTAAGTTGCAAAGTACGTATAATCGTACAGGTGATCATTAGATGGGCAGAATTCCAACTCACGTCAGTTTAGGTCTTCCTGCCTTCGGATGCGGCTCGATAACAATCTTTCAATCAATGATAGCGTAACGGAAACCCCAGGATCAAGAGGATTGAGATATCTAATGTAACTAATTTTCTAAGCAGCGAAGGCACAAATGTCACACGCAAGATGACGGAGCCGAGGAAATCATTGTCCGGCTTTAGGATTCGATGTTCCGTCCGAGCTTGATCAGTATCTAATAGTTACTTCCGGGTCACAATATTAGGAATGGTCGCTGTACGTGTACAAGACCACAGGGTATAATTGGAAACTGCACCTTTAGTGAGTGAGTGAGTATGGTTTTAAGCCGCTTTTAGCAACATTCCATCAATATCACGGCGGGGGAGACCAGAAATGAGCTTCACATATTCCACCAATGTAGGGAATCGAACCCGGGTCCTTGGCGTGTCGAGCGAACGCTTCAACCACTAGGCTACCCAGCTGTACTTATGAATAAGAATACATATGCCGCTCGTATAGCCTATGATTAATTAGCCGTAATTTAAATCAAATATCAAACAGATTTAGAATATATGAGAGTTGGGGTTGGGGGACCGTTCAATCTTTGCAGAGTCGCGTCCCTTAGGCCTGCCAGGATAAGCAGATATGTGGTTCGAATACCTACTTATATGGTCCTCGTTATTTTCACGATAGGCATAAACATTTATAACCTGCATCAATTCGTTTTTCCTCCAACAACCACTTCACAAGCCGTGATGCAAATGAAGCAATGTTCAAAGCGGGGTTCAGTCAACCTAACTCATTCAGATTTGTCTAAGTCTCACATTTTCTTCTTAAGTGTCAGATACCCATGATACCCGTGGAGATAAGTTCTAATTTCAAAAGTTAAATCAATTTCTCGTGCCCAAATAGTACAAATTTAAACTTCTGAAATTCCACTTCAATGTCTGGTAAAGAATGGCCGGAAGTTGCGTTTTCAACATGGCTACGTTGAGAGCCATGTTGAAAACCATTGTCCTATGGGCATGTGGCCTCTTTGACAGAAAATAAACTATGTGAACTGTGATGTTGAAAACCTTGTGAAGCTGTTGCTACAAAACATCCCAGTATCCATTTTCAACTTCATCCACTGAGAGTTCTCAGCCGATATATGACTGTTCAATCAAAAGTTTGTAGTGAGACACATATACTGGGATAATTTCAATGGTTATTTCATTTGCTGGAACCGATTGAGATTGTGGATATTGCTTTTATGATAGTTTTCGAATTAGTTATTTCGAATGAAATATACTTCTTATCACAAATTATAGATTACCTTTGAAGGAAATGAAAAATGGATATAAAAATCATTGGGCATTTTAAGGGCATTTTTATGATTTACTAGCCACCCCGTCAGGTTCACGCTGGGAATAGGGCTTCCAAGAAGATCACTGTCATGCAAGTTGACCAGACGGATTTGGTGGCCAGGTAAACGAACGAACGAACGAACGAACGAACGAACGAACGAACGAACGGATTTGGTGGCCAGGTAAACGAACGAACGAACGAACGAACGAACGAACGAACGAACGAACGAACGAACGGACTGTATTGTACCAGCGACATTATTAGAACATACAACAGGGTATTGAATTTGATTCCAATAACTCGATCTTGATTATATATTGTGATGTTTAATTATGAACAGTTCCATTATGCGCTAACGATGCTGGGTTACAGCATATTTGAAAGCCAATAAAATATTAATTCACACATTATTGATGTCATGTTGGGTATATAATTGCATGTAACGATCGTGTTTTCATCGAATCGCCATGTGCTGAAGAATGTGCCACACGTGTTTAACAATTACGCCAGAATTTCTGTTCAATAAGGACAAAATGCTCCCGGGAGAACATTTTCTCACAATGATGATGCCTAGTATACTCTAGTATACTCTAGTATACTTAGTATACTAGACTATACAGACTGTGAAAGGTCGGATCTTGGGCTTAATCCGTTTCTGAAATAGCGCCAGAAAACATCAATTACCATTGATCCTAACACAATTTTAATTGTCTTTGTCTCCATTGATCTTTGGCACAAGCCTAGAAATGACTGGACATTTTATAGGATGAGGTCATATGGTTAGAATATTGTAGTGTTACACAGCCAAATAAACCGAGAAATTACAGGACACTAACAAAACCATGTAGGTTCAAGTTATATATACCGGCTAAAAAGTATACGAATACTCAATGCCATTGATGTAAAATGTAACACACCTTATATTTGGGATTACACTTTCTCAGTAAAGTACAAATTCTAGTACTTTTGTCTGGTTGACTCCCATTCGGGATTCGAACCCACACGTCAGACACCTTACGCCAGCACACAAAGTCAGCCGTCTAACCCACTCAGCCACCTCAACTCTAGAAGTACTAGAATCTGTACTTTTACTGAGAAAGTGTGATCCCGTCTCTTACATGTATTAAAAATGTATATGCTTGAGAAAAGGATTTGACGAAACATTACAAAAGTTATTAAAACGCACAAAGCTGAAAACGGTCAACAAAACTCAGCACATTTAATGTCCAAAACACAACTATGAAACCCAAATCAAATTTGCAACATTGAATTAACCATTGTTGGTTTGTTTCATGTTTATATATTCGTGTATGGTTTCTTTTGATCACTAGTTTCTTACCGCGTGGTAGTTACAGCATGATTTCGTTTATTTGTTGTTTTACGCCGCACTCAGCAAGATTCCAGCTATATGGCGGAGGACTGTAAATAGTTGAGTCTGGACCAGGCAATGCAGTGATCAACATCATGAGTATCGATCTGCGCAATGGGGATACGATGACACGCGTAATCTAAGTCAGCGAGCTTGAGCGCCGATCCCGTTAGTCGCCACTCATAACAAGCATGGGTTGGTGAAGAAAACCCGGATCTTCACGGGTTCACTGTTACAACGCGAATATGTGATCGATGCCAATTTCTGTCTATAGTTAATCACACCTGCTAGATCAGATATTGACATGTAAGAGGGGACAAATATATAACTGACAGATTATGTGTACTGATAGAGTGTTCTTAACATCTCTTGTTAAGTATGTATGTATGTATGTATGTATGTATGTATGTATGTATGTATGTATGTATGTATGTATGTATGTATGTATGTATGTATGTATGTATGTATGTATGTATGTATGTATGTATGTATGTATGTATGTTTGTATGTACATTGTATGTGACTACTTTACTAGTGTGTTTGGTGAGTTTTGTTTCTCTCTCTCTCTCTCTCTCTCTCTCTCTCTCTCTCTCTCTCTCTCTCTCTCTCTCTCTCTCTCTCTCTCTCTCTCTCTCTCTCTCTCTCTCTCTCTCTCTCTCTCTCTCTCTCTCTCATCTCTAGATGTAGATATGACCCGTTGTTGAACTTCAGCCTATCAGTGGTGAAGTTTCAGTGCGATGTATTCACTTTTTCATTCTAATTACAGAAACTGACGGCAGTGTGCACCGACATGTGTTAACTAACCATCACTGGACCGATAGATATCTTCACTGAAACACAGCCTCCTCCGTAACTGTGACCGCGAGGGAACGCCAACCAGAGCTGCAGTAGGAGTGGTCGAGGACGCTGCAGGGCACCCTACTGACAACGTCAATACCACACCGGGGACCTTCTGACGGAGAACCATTCACTGACAGTAAAGCTTCAAGTACACACACGTTCTGATCGTGTCTCGTTCACCAGAGTTTTTCTACAGATCTGAATCTTCAAGCTAAACATGCTCTATAACTGGAACGTCAAATCGAAATGGAAAATTACACCTGGTCTTGAAGATCTTCACTGGAATTGACTTTTGTTTGTGAAAACTATTACATGTCGATTAGATCGAAGCATTTGCAACGGATCGGTCTAAAACACCACCCAAGTCTTTTCCGATTTAGATCCAGAATGTTTAAATTTTTTTACCTGTTTTAATTCACACTGGATTCGTCGGAGTCGTACAACACCGGAATTGAAAGGAAGTGAGTGCGTGATTTTAACTCATTGATTTGGGGAATCGCCCGTACATTTTTATTTTACAGAATATATGTGTATACGGCTGGTAAAACACATATCGACAGATGTTGTGATCCCAAGACCAGTTCATGTGTGACGTACAGGACGTCGGTTCAACTGTTAGGAAATAACACAACGGGATATTGTTGACGGAGTCTGGGCCAGAAGGACTTAACAGTGAAAGGGACTGTCACGCAAACAACAATGAACAACACTACGGATGACTACCACTACGACTATTTGTCGTCGGTGGAGACGGTGCCGTTGGCCGAGTTGATACCGGTAGCCACGTTGTACAGTCTCATGTTGATGTGCGGCATGCTCGGCAACGTGCTCGTCATCTTCTCCATCCTACGTTATCGATGCATGCGCAACATCACCAACACATTTCTTTTGAGCCTGGCGTCAGCTGACCTCTTGTTGGTGGTCATTTGCATACCCGTAAAGGTAAGATGTACTTGAGGTTGAGGAAGAGCGTTAGAGAGACATTGGTAGTGAAAGTGAGTGAGTGAGTTTCATGCCGCTTTTAGCAATATTCCAGCAATATCACATATTGCACCCATGTAGGGAATCGAACCCGGGTCTTCGGCTTGACGAGCGAATGCTTCAACCACTAGGCTACCCCACGCCCCTGGTAGTGATAGAGATACGGACAAGGTTGTGAGACACTCTAAATGAAAAATCATATTGATCATTATGATGTTATCTAAGTCATCTCAGACCACTGTGTGTTGATAAACAATAGAATAATCAATATTCACTGCATTGATCGATCGTTAACAAGTAAATTGGTCACCTGTGGGAACCCGCTTCACTCTGAAGTTGAACTGTGAAGTTGAACTAACCTTTCCTTCACTTCTCGTGTACTGTGAAGTTGAACTAACCTTTCCTTTCTCAAACTACCGTCACGACGTAAGTGGGTGAGTATGGTTTTACGCCGCTTTAGCACTAAATTACACCAATATCACGGCGTAAGTAATTATTCTAAACGAACATCTGTGCTTGCTGATAAACAGCCACTCTCAGCTGCATTGCGAACATAACTGTACATGTATCCTATTCCTAATATTCGTATCCCAATGATTGCTGGAATATTGCTAAAAGTGGTGTAAAACTTCACTCACTTACTCAACCGTGTGTTTGTAAGTGAGTGAGTGAGTGAGTTTGGTTTTACGCCGCTTTCAGCAATATCCCAGCAATATCACGGCGGGGGACACCAGAAATTGAAAAAGCTCAAGAATTACTTCCGAAAAACAACATCAAAAACATTTAATGGCTGCAAGAAAGCTTATTGCAAATTACATCAGTTTTCATGCTTGGTTTTGTCATTCGTTGTTGTCTTGTCATCAAATTCTCATATTACAGGAGATGTAAAGGTACGTGAGTGAGTTCGGTTTTACGCCGCTTTTAGCAATATCCCAGCAATATCAGGGCGGGGGACACCAGAAATGGGCTTCACATATTGCACCCATGTTGGGAATCGAACCCGGGTCTTCGGCGTGACGAGCGGACGCTTTAACCACTAGGCTTCCCCACCGCTCACATGTGCGTGTGTGCGCGCGTGTGTGTACGTGTGTGTGTGCTCTTTGAATGCTCTGTGTGTGTCTGTGGTTGATATTAGTTAGCTTGCGACCAGAGAAGAGGGGGTTTAAGTAGAGTAACCTACAGTTGCAACTAAAAGGTGAGGTGAAATCGGGTTTAACGTCGTGCTTGAGAATATTTCGCTTATATGACGACGTGCATGGGTGTGTATGTGTATGTGCGGCTGCTTGTACTAGCCCAGACTGAAGCTGGTTTTATAGTGCTAGCCCACTGAGATACCATACTGCAGTGAAGCATGAATACCCCACTCAGACACATTATACTGACTCCGAGCCGACCAGTCCTTGTTGTACCCATTAATGCCGAGCGCCAGGCAGGGACCAACAAGTACCATATTTTAACGTCTTTTGGTATGACGCGGTCGGGGATCGAACCCGCGACCTTCCGCTCTCCGGGCGGACGCTCTAACCACTACACCACGGAGGTGGTCTTGCAACTAAAAGCCACCGGTATTTTAGTTACTTGTAACCATAGTTCGTTACACACATTTCGACTAAGTTATACCTCAAGAGGCTGGGACTAAATTGTGAACTATGTCCGTCAGTTCGTTATAAGTGATATGGCTGAAATATTGCCGAGGTGACGTTAAATTCTAACTCACTCACTCACTCACTCGTTATAAGTGTGAAGCCATGTAAACGTTGTTTACTATAAACACAATCCGTATTTATTCGCATTTATCATACCATAGGAACGTATCTCGGCAGGATAAAGTCAAACATAAAAATCATATCCGCTGGGGCGGTTCACACGTGTGCAAATATTCAGTAATTACAATTACGGTGTCGCTCTTGTCTATCAGAATTGACGATCGGGAAATTATTTAGATAATATTTATTGTGAAAACAACTGTAAGTTACCAAAATTCGGTATCTAAAAGGCGACTGAGGTCTAAAAAACGTAGTGAACTTTGAAGAAATAACTTGCGAAGACATTAAAGAGGACGGTCTGTGTAACTGTTCCAAAGTCGATCAAACCGGTGCTTTATGTCGGAAACTTGGATCTTTTGTCGAATTAAGAAGATGTGCATTCAGTCGACACTTATCAACAACTGTTTTTCGTTTTGTGCCTGTGGAATATTTGACTGTATTCCATAATCCCATTACGAAACATTATAACTGTCCAGGATGTCTAAAAAACATGACGTTACCTAGCTTTCATTTGATAAAGGACAATTACTCGAGGAGACAAAAGGAAATTACTTTAGTAGAATGAACAAAGGATTGCTGAAAAAAGAGATCACGGATATTGAAACGTTCCCTGCAGGCAATTGGATTTTACGTGAGGGCAGATAGGCCACTGTCTAAACGACAAGTTTCAGTTGAAGTACAATTGACTGGTTTCAGTGTCAGATTGACGTTGTGACGTCATGTAATAATGGGATAACAGAATTTAACATGTCATTATATGGTTGAGACTAAGTTTTACACCACTTTTAGCAAATAATCTACATAGGCGGGTGGGGGTGGGGTGAGGGAGGGTTTGGGGTGATTTTTATGCTGGAAGTTTATTAAATCGTATGCGTATCCATTTGATCTCAGGTGAAAATGAACTGTACCCCCTTCTCAAAAGCTGTATCCGCCCCTGTTCTAGCAATTTCACTGTGGGGAAATCAAGAAAAAGGGAATTACACATTGTACCCATTTTGGGAATGGAACCCAGACCTAAAGCGTGACGAGCGGACGCTTTAACCACTAGGCTACCCGATCGCACCTCGTCATATGGTAAAGAGGTTATCACACTTGTGTGTTTTAGAGTGACCAGTATCTGGAATCAGGAATATATGCTAATACAATGAGAGAACGTAAAACAATAATCATCGGACCTAAACACACTCATATCCTCTATGTATCACCCAACAATAACGATTTATTCGTTAACACCCAAATATATATACACCATAGATCTGATATGTTTGACTATCATTTAAAGAAAGAGATATACTAGTATTGCAATTATATCCAAAATATGAACTGTTCTGGGGCTTAGGCACCACTCAAAAAATAATTAAACATGGTTTACAATGTATTTGTTAAACTATAATTGTATTTGAACTTAAGGCCAGACCAATTTTATTTCTTGTTTTACGGATTTTTGTCACCAGAACACCTAAAGGCAGGAGGGAAAAAAATCACCAGTCAAAGCAAAAACCCACATGAGTTTTTCAAAGGCATTGTTTTTCAAGTTCACACTCGCTAAGGTGCTCGAAGCACTGATTTCTAACACAAATATTGTTAGATAATTCAGTTAAAAGTCTCTGAGAACAGATACCGGTGTTTTAGTGTCCAACAAACTCAGCCTTGCATATTCGAAGTCTCGCTCCGTAAATGTTAACATTATGATTTTATTTTTCGAGCGGGTAAAATCTATTTTTATTTTTTTTCTTACAGAAATAAAATTGGTCTGGCTTAAAGAGCAAAAACCTTGCATAGTACACAACTGTGGATTCGCATTAAAGACTTTTTATCGTTAAAAATTTGCAAATGGCTTTTTGGGGCACAAATTTAGAACATTTCAATCATTGTGGGAATCATGTGGAGGTAAATGCGTTTTTTACCCGTCTACATTAGACCAGTCTATTTCTGCACAACATTACCAAGCCATAGATTACTTTTTACTCACTGTTGCAGAAATAATTAATGGTTAGGTAGATATAAATCTGTGTAATATGATTGCCTAACGTTTCTTTCCTATATAAAAAACAACACGGTGAATTTGCGTTTGCCTTACAATGTCGGATATCTAAAAGACCTGCTAGGATGGGTTTTTTGTTCAGATTTATTTTTTGATCGCTATTTTCCAAGCTCAGTCGGGAAATGGAAATAGACGTTTTAAAACTAGTTCCTTAATGCTCCAGAAAATGGCTTTCTGATTTGATTATGCCGGCTTCTTGCTAGCCATTTCACAGGTCGGTCAGGTTTGCGAAAGGTTGCTTGGAGAGAACTGTGATGGGATGTTCTCAAATCATTGTTTAACTGCAGCTGAACTAATAACTAATTTTAACGAAAATGTTTAAAAATTCATGACCGGGAACGTTACAAATATTCTTCGTTGCAGTCAGAATATTCACTCTTCACTGTACTCAAGTTTAGGGTATATACAATCAAACACCGTTGTGTCGAACCTACTACTGTTATCTCGAAGTAAACGCTGGGTCCTTGGTTATTCCTTATTTAAGTCATTTGTTAGACGCTGTGTCGAACCTCGAATAACTCGAAGTATTTACATTGATCCGTTCAACTTCGACACAATAAAGTTTGGATGAATATAGTTAATGACAAGGTTTCGAGTAACACCATTCATAAACGTTTTTTAAACCAGTTCAGTTTCAGATACAGTCAAAAATGAAACATTAATGCCAAAGAGTGAGTGAGTGGGGTTTTGAGCCTCCTTTAGCAATATTCCATGACCTAGTGCTGGAGCGATTGATCGAGTAATAGGTCAATTGATCGATCTCGCTTGCGTAAGCGGTTATCGATTGGCTCAGGAAACTAATCGATATTCATAAAAAATGAAACATCATATATAACTTTAGGAAGTATGTTTCTTATTGTTATGTTTGTTAAATCAAAATATAAACAATATCCTGACTCGTAAAACTGCAATTTAAACAACATATTCGCGTGTGTGTCAAAGCAGGAAGTATCCTCAATCGTCTTGAGCGTGGTATTAATCGGTGCCTGTTTGATTGTGTCCCATTTTTGCCCACATGAGTTTTGTGGGTTTACAATTACAATCGATTATTGATCGATTATTGATCTCTGATTATCGATCTGAATATTGTGAGTGATAAACAGATCTCATTCCTGCAATATCAAGGGACACAAGAAACGGGCTTCACACAA